CTTCTTTCTGAAGATTCTGCATTTAGTCAGATAAGGGAGATATAGGAAAAGCCTCTCTGTGCATTTGCAATTTCCCAAATGCCTTTAGCTTGAAGTAGTCAGCATAGCAATGTGACATATTTTGGGCTGGTTATTTCCTAGATTCCTCTAGTGTACATTGCAGGGGCAAGGGAAAATTTCTCTGATCAGAATGAAAACCTTCAGAATGAAAACCCAAAGATACCTAATGCTTAGGTTCAAAGTATGGACAGTCATGTAGAAATATGATTGGAAAAAAAGGGTATGATTTAATGCTCATAGACTGAATGGGGAAAGTCAGCAAGGCCTGCCTGTTTAGATTCTTCTTGGCCTTTCTGAACATGCATTCCTTCCTTCTTGGAACAGGGCAGGACCCTGGGGGCTTATAACCTACAGTCAAACAAGGTAGGTCAGATAATTTCTTTACAGCCAGTATTTACACAGAAAGGTGGTGGGAGAGGGAGTTAAGAGTAATATTTTTAGGTTTTATGGCTGGCTTAAGGGAAAAGAGGTTCTAGTTTCTATGATCCATCTTGAGGAAGAAAGATCCAGGTTTTATGGCTAGCTTTGGGGGAGAATGGGACTGAGAGACAGGAGGGCAGAAGGTCAGAGAAAAACTTGTGCTTCTGAGGCTGCTTCTAAGGCCTTCATTTTGGGGTATCATTTTCTGTGCCCCAGAAACATATATCAAAACATCATATTGTGCCCCATAAATGTGTATAATTATGATTTGTCAATTAAAAATAATATTAATAAAAAACAAGACAAATGTAACATACATAGAAAAGAATGGGTTTATTTATTCAGATAATTATTCAGTCCACAATAAACAACTCCAAACACCATTCACCACTTTAATTTCATTGCTGTTGGTGAGCTCAGAATTTAAAATTTTTCTTTTAGTTCATTTCTTTATCCATTTACTTAACTACCAGAAAATATCTCCTGAATGCCTGCTGTATGTGTGAGACTTAGTGCTCTGCCCAGAGGGACTAAGTAAGCAATGGATTCTTTTTAGTTGAGGAATTAGAAAGCTGGGAAGTCCTGGACATTTGATCTGGGCTTTGGTGGCAGAGAGAGTAGCTTGGTGAACAGCTTTCCATGGGCCCAGGAATCTTTGATAATGTCCAGAGATCTTCAGCTGTGAAATGAAGGGCTTGATGAAGTCAGCAGATCCTTTTTTTGTTTGTTTAGTCTGCACCATGTTATAATTTTTTTTATTAGTTGTCAATATAAAAAATTTAGAATATTTCATTTAAAAATGCATATCCACTTGAAAAATTGGAAGATTCACTGTCCCTGTGCCTGTATCACTATAAGAAAGAAATTGATGAAACTGCATTGTACAGATTTGTGTTCTTCAGGTCTCTGAAGTTCCCACTGGTCCCATTTATGTTTCCATGTTAGATGGCATTTATGAACGTTGAAAAACAGGAATTGATAGTAGGAGAATGTACTTTCCTTTGTGTGAGATGAATTGTTTGAGATTAGAGAAAAATGTGCTCTTTCTGATTCTAACTGATGCTATTTGCTTCTGTGACCGTGCTTGCTTTTAGTTGTTTGTTAAATATAGTCAATCAGAATAAAAAACAGGAATAAGAGCAGGAGTGACTCCATGACAGGCTGAACTTCCTGGAGTAGGCCTAAGTTTCGGTTTCCCTGAAATGACGCTGACCACAACTGGCACCGGCGTGAAAATTCCGAGGCTTGGAGCCACTTTTAAAGGAAGCAATCAAGAGCCAACACAATCAGCCACTTTTAAAGGAAACAATGAACTAAGGAGGGGAGGGGGGAAGGTGTGCCCAGTGTGTTGTGTGAAACCTGTGTGTCGTGTGTAAAACAAAAAAAAGGTATAAAAGCTTAACTTTTACCCCGGGGCAGGGTCCTGTCCCGGTTCATAGGAGAGGCCACTGCGTTGGTGCTCTGGGACTTGGACCCTAGGTCGAGCTAGCCAATAAACTCTTTTGCCATTTGCAGCCTCGGTGACTCTGCCTCTCTGTTCCTGGGGCCTAGGGGAACCAGCTCTAACAATGTGCTTGTGCTATGGTTGTTCTTACAGCAGAATTTTAAAAAGGGTTCAGTATGCCTTGGTCCACATATCTCTGTCAAAACTGAAAATATAATATCAGAAGTTTGTGTGCTTGTAGAAAAATAGCAAAGCTGGGCAAGATGGTGTATGCCTGCAGTCCCAGCTACTTGGGAGGCTAAGGTGGGAGACAGCTTGAGCCCAGTAGTTGGAGGTTGCAGTGAGCTATGATCAAGCCACTGCATTCCTGCCTGGACAATAGAATGAAACTTCCATCTCTGAAAAGAAAGAAAAATAGCAAAAAGCGCCTTTCTTTATAGAGATAAGGCATGGTTCCTAATATTCAACCAGTTTTGCTCTAATGTGCTGGGCCCTTGTGAACAACTGACGTTTAACGTCTGGTTTAGAGAGTATCATAACTGTTGCTTTATCTGCAGATTAAACTAAATATAGACATTTTATGAAAGAGAATTTGGAACAGCAGGTTAGGATCAAAGCATGGTAAATGGTCTTAAGTGTTGTCCTAACCCCGAATTTGATTGTATTTGAAGACAGGGACTTTAAAGAGGTAATTCAGGTTAAATGAGTTTGTAAGGATGGGACCCTAATCTAACAACAGGACTGGGGCCCTTAAAAGAAGAGGAAGAGACACAGGGGCAAGCATGCACAGAAAAAATACCATATGAAGATACAGAAAGAAGATGGTTATCTGCAAGCCAAGGAGAGAGGCCTCAGGAGAAACCAAACCCACTGACACCTTGATCTTGGACTTCAGGCCTCCAGAACTGTGAGAAAATAAATTTTTGTTGTTTTAAGCTACTCAGTTTGTGGCATTTTGTTATGTCAGCTCTGTCAAGCTAATACATGCATTTTAATAGGCAAGGGAGTTAGACTTTGGAGGACGGGGAAACCCAAGAAAAGAAAAGTTGCAAAATAACCGAGGTTACCAAGTGTACATTGTTATGTTCATGGTGGAAGAACTGCAACTTAGTCCCATGATAATCATATTCAAAAGTCATGACATATCTTCAAACAGCAGCCAGTAAAAATCAGGTATATCATTGTTTTGGGCAGGTGTTCAAGTTTACAGGAAACATTCGAGTATTTATTATTTTGTTGACCAGAACTAGAAAGCATGACCCTATTATTATTTATTTTAGCGTACAGAGTATTTTGTTTTTTCATTTTTTTGTCTGTTTTGGACAGCTCTGACCAGACTACAAAATTCAACAGGACTTTCTCTCCCAACTCCCGTCTTTCTACTTACCCGTAATCCCTTTTAACGCAGGCACGAATGACTCTCGGAGTAATTACTAACTTAAATCTTGAAGTTAAAAGGAGATAGAAATGATAGCCTTACCTAATCCACTGACTATCAGTAGAAAGTTGGGAAGGAAGTATTTCAATTGGGGCTGGAAAATACACCTTGGATTTGTGCTTCTGCTTTTTTGCCACAAGATGGCAGAAGAGGGCAACACTTCTTATCCCACCTACGCCAGAGGATGATCATTCCTCAGATCTCTCAGGGATTGGGGGAGGAGGCGAGGAATCAATCTCGCAAAAAGAGCAAAGAGGAATGAAAGGAGATAAATGTGATGTCAACAAATTCAAAACCACGATGAAATTAGGAGAATGCTCTTCACCAAGTGGTGCAAGGTCTGGGGAAGAGAATCTCATTTTAGGGAAGGAAAGGGCAAGCCCGTGTATTATTTTTCGCACTATCCGCTGACCTGTTGACATGATTTAGGGGCTGTTTGTTGCCTGTAACAGAGACAAGACTGTTCGTCAGAGGTAGAGAGCCCCAAACCACAGCTGTAAGGGAAGTGAGGACAAAGAAAGACAGAAAGGAAAAAGTTAAGGGGCGATTTTTAGGCCTGGAGTTGGGCTGTGGTGTAAGGGCTTGTTATTTTGTTGTTAATAGAAAAAAAGATTTACAATAGCAATAATTTACTGGAAAGGGGATAACGTGGTGACAGAGGATGTTAATGCTATAAAATGCAAGAAAGGAGCTATTGAGAAGGGGGAATTGAAGGACTTTCGATCATGTATTGAAAGTTTCCACTTCCTTGTATTCCTAGCTAGCCCGTGTTCTTGGTACACCTCCTACCTCTGTAACCTTTTCTTGGGGTCTGCTTCTTTTTAAATGCTGGATTCTCCGATTTCTGTTGCAGGATTCCTAATCATGGAATCCCAGCCTGAAAGCTGCCTCCCTGCCGCAATGAATCCTGGCATACCTCCCTCCTTAACGCCGCCTGATTATTTATACATTGCAAGAAGGCAGCTTTCCTAAATTGCTAGGTTCCTTGTTCAACATTTTATCCTTCAGTAGCTTTTTTGACCTTTAATGTTCCCTTTGCTCTTTGACACCAATCATTTCAACTCACCCTAATATCTCCGTGGCTTTGGCAGGGTTGACGTCAGTGCCTGTTCTCTAGAGGTTATGGGAAACTGACACTGAGAAGTTAATTTCGCCCAGGGTCCGACTGCAGGAAATCGAACGGTTAATTTATAGCCTCTGGTAGCTGCAGAGCCTGAGGCATTCCTGCATATAACGGAAAATTCATAATTTTACTTTCCAGTGAAACTCTTTCAAAAACACAACCCGAATGAGACTATCTGGCAAGTGGCGGCCCCTGGCGGGATTTTCAAATAGATCTGCGGCCGAATCAGGTACAAGGAGGGGATACTTGCATTAGTAAAAGCGTAACCCAAAGAGAAATTTGGCTAGCATAACCGAGAGCAAAACTACATGCCTCTTTTTCCCAAGGGCATCAAAGAACCCATACTAAATTTTCCTGATAGCGCGTCTAAATGCATATGCAAGAATGTGTGCTTTTTTACTTTTTTGTTACTTTTACCCTTTGCGGTTACCTTCTCTCCCAAACAAGTTCCTAGCCCTCCCCAAAGAAACTAGACTACAGGCAAAATGCACCAGCTCTTGTTTGAAAATGTGGGTGGCTCTGAAAAGAGCCTTTGGGTTGTTGAGAGGCTGTGAGCGAGCTCACTTGGAGCTGGTGTATTTGGTGACGGCCTTGGTGCCCTCGGACACGGCGTGCTTGGCCAGCTCTCCCGGCAGCAGCAGGCGCACTGCCGTCTGGATCTCCCTGGAGGTGATGGTCGAGCGCTTGTTGTAATGCGCCAGGCGAGAAGCCTCGCCCGCGATGCGCTCGAAGATGTCGTTGACGAAGGAATTCATGATGCCCATGGCCTTGGACGAGATGCCGGTGTCGGGGTGGACCTGCTTCAGCACCTTGTACACGTAGATGGAGTAGCTCTCCTTGCGGCTGCGCTTGCGCTTTTTGCCATCTTTTTTTTGCGCCTTGGTCACTGCTTTCTTGGAGCCCTTCTTTGGGGCCGGAGCGGACTTAGTCAGCTCAGGCATGGCGGAGAAGAGCCAAAAAGCCCCTAAGAAACAAAAAGTGCTTCACGAAGAAAAGAAGGAGCGCTAGGCAGGGGGCGCCCCTTTTATATATAGCTCATATGCAAATGAGGCTGAGTAAAGTCCCCTGTCTGATTGGATATCACTCGTGATGACATCAATACCAATATCGTCCAATCAAAACACATATTTTAAGAAATTTCATTTGGACTGTTTAAAACAGAACTGCAAGTTTGGCCAATGGCGGAACTCCTTTTTCACGCCCAGCAACGGCTATAAAATGTACATTTTTGCGCTTTGAGGTTTTTCTGGTGTAAGTCACAGGCAATCTTATGATGTCTGGACGCCGCAAGCAGGGCGGCAAGACTCGTGCCAAAGCCAAGACCCGCTCTTCCTGGGCCGGGCACCAGTTTCCCGTCGAGTGCACCGCCTGCTCCGCAAGAGCAACTATACCCAGCGGGTCGGAGCTGGCGCCCCGGTGTACCTGGCGGCGGTGCTGGAATATCTGAGCGCGGAGATCTTTGAGCTGGCGGGCAACGCGGCTCGCGACAAGAAGACGCGCATCATCCCGCGCCACCTACAGCGCGCCATCCGCAATGATGAAGAGCTGAACAAGTTGCTGGGTAAAGTCACCATCTCTCAGGGCGGCGTCCTGCCCAATACCCAGGCTGTGCTATTGCCCAAGAAGACCGAGAGTCACCACAAGGCTAAGGGTAAATGACGTCTGAATTTACAACAACTTAAAACTTCTCACTAAACCAGAGGCTCTTTTCGGAGCCACCCACCATTTCTGCGGAAGAACTGAGTACTGTTCTCTAAACTTATCATGAATACCTGGCTAAGTTTAAACACGAGAAATAACAGTTTCACATTTGGTTTGATATTAACTGATGCCTGGCAAAGACCATTAAATTTGTAGTTTGCTAAATTAGTTATAATCCCATGAAGCCAATCTTCTTTATTGTCCTCTCCCCCCAAACACCGTCCTGGGTCGTTAAAAAATAACTTCCAGTGATTATTCCGGCGAATATACTAAGTGGTACATACCGACATTTTTTTAGCTTTGCTGAGTCTTTACAGCAGAACCTGATGGTGCTTTAATCAACTACAATCACTGTCCTAACACAAAAGACTGTTTGCAGAGCTACCCACATTTACTGGAAAATACCTAATCATTGACCAAAGTAAACCCATCATCACTCCCCGCATGCTGATTAAATCAAGCGCGTGATTTGCAGGTTTGATAGTCCAATAAGCCATTTGATTGCATCAAAATCAGTTAATGAAGATGTCAGATACTATTTATTGGTATCATTTAGTCAAGCACATACCAAACTTCTTACCCACACCACGTTTGGCAAACTAAAGTACTGGTGTTCCAGGGACCAATGAGCCAATCTATTTTTAAACTTTTTTTCTGGGTCTTCATAGTTACTAAAAGCAGATTTAATGAAACAGGAAACGGAACTACTTTTTAGAATATTAACAAGTAAATTATTTTAGTGTACTTTTTTTTTTTTTTTTACATTATCTAAAACAGGAAAAAGGCTCCGATGAAAATGAATGTCTTTAAGAACAGTTAAGGCTGATTTCCTAAAGTTCCAGGTCAGATTCCCTTTTCATTGGGGTAATCTTAACTTGATTAGTCGAAAACAAACAGTAAAAATTAGCAGGAGTGGGTGGGGAAACCGTTCAGAGGAAGTAGTAGGAACCAAATAGAGATTGTATTAAAAACCAATCAGCGGTGGCTCACGCCTGTAATCCTAGCTCTCTGGGAGGCCGAGGCGGGCGGATTGTTTGAGCTCAGGAGTTCGAAATCAGCCTGAGCAAGAGCGAGAACCTGTCTCTACTAAAAATAGAAAGAAATTAATTGGACAACTAAAAACACATAGAAAAAAAAAATTAGCCGGGCATGGTGGCGCATGCCTGTAGTCCCAGCTACTCGGCAGGCTGAGGCAGAAGGATTGCTTGAGCCCAGGAGTTTGAGGTTGCTGTACTCCACGGCACTCTAGCCCGGGCAACACAGTGAGACTCTGTCTCAAAAAAAAAAAAACAATCAGGTTACTCCTACCACAATCCTGACCAATCAGGATCAGATCATCGGTATAAATTCTGGTCGCGCCACTATTTCTCCTGTTGCTTGTTTTGAAAGCACTGTTCTCTGTCATGGCCCGTACAAAGCAGACAGCTCGCAAGTCTACTGGCGGCAAGGCGCCGCGCAAGCAGCTCGCTACCAAGGCGGCCCGCAAGAGCGCCCCAGCCACCGGCGGCGTGAAGAAGCCCCATCGCTACCGGCCCGGAACCGTGGCTCTGCGCGAGATCCGCCGCTACCAGAAGTCTACAGAGCTGCTGATCCGGAAGCTGCCTTTCCAACGTCTGGTGCGGGAGATCGCGCAGGACTTCAAAACAGATCTGCGTTTCCAGAGTTCAGCGGTGATGGCGCTGCAAGAAGCTTGCGAGGCCTACCTGGTGGGACTGTTTGAGGACACCAATCTGTGCGCCATCCACGCCAAACGAGTGACTATCATGCCCAAGGACATCCAACTCGCGCGCCGCATCCGTGGCGAGCGAGCATAAGCTGTATTGAGGCGGGGCTTGCTTGCTTTCTCCTTCCCGAAGGCTCTTTTCAGAGCCACTGATGTGTTCATTGAGAGTGGCTGTTACGCAGTTAGGTCTTCAAAATGCAACCCTAAAGCCAATTGGGGGGAGAATGGGAATGAACCCAGGGTGGCCTTCGGTTTCCCTGCTCCTCAAAATACGCATAAAATTATCAGGACTGATGAGTACATTACCTATTAAAGTAAATAGCTTAACACTTCTGACGCATAAGTGCTCAGTAAATTCTAGCTGGATAAGTGTATTGCTAATTTGCTGTTTTTTAGTCACAAAATCACAGCCTTGGATGGTTATTAAGCATCTCCCACCTTCCGTGTCACTGTATTTCGTTCCAGACAATTTTGATCAGCATTATTTTTAGTCCTCTGGCGAGTAAATATATTGGCACACATTTTCACATGTTTTTGTATGTGAACCTGGCAATAGCTCCCAGGATGTAGATAGGGCATACATTACTCCCCTTTACTAACTCTAGAAAGTGTCTTTTCCAAAGGTACTCAAGCAATGGGGGACAAACAAGCTAGTAGATGTAAGTTTAGGATTCTCTCAAGAATCCCTAGACGGGAAGGAAGAGATCTGGATAACCTTCCAATGGCTATACAAAAATAATTTAGTTTAAAAGAAAACTGGGGCCTAATTTCTTTTAGGTGGAAAGGCAGAAGTTAGGTTGTTCTAATGTCTTCCAACTCTTCCAGCAAGGACATCTACTGAGATTTCAGTCTTCTGAGATCTGATATTTTAGCTCTATGGACTGGAGGGGACATTTTCTATTTGAAGCCTAAATTTGGGCATAGAATGGTGGGTTTAGAAAACGTCCAAAAATTATTTGATATTCTTCCCATCAAGAAATAGAGCCTAATTCCTCTAGTCTTGAGTGTAGGACAGGATTTAGAGACTGGCTTCTATTGAATAGAATAGAGCAAATGGCATAAAGTGAGAGTGAGGTACTTTGGAGACTAGATCATAGAAAGTATTGTGCTCTGGGGGACCTCAGCAGCCATGTTGAGGACATTCCGGTGGCCCTGTGGAGAGGCCTGCCTTGTAAGAAATTAAGGCCTTCCTCAACAGTCAGCAAAGAGCTACCAACAGCCATGTGAGTGAGCCATATCCTGCCCCAATGAAGCCTCAGATGATTGCAGCCCCTGCTGACAGCTAGGCTCTTCATTCTCAGAGACCCTGAGCCAGAACCATGCAACTAAGCCACTCTTGATTCCTGACCTTTAGAAAATGTGTGAGATAATGAATTTGTTGTTTTAAGCTGCTAACTTCTTGGGTGATTTGTTACACAACAATAAATTACTGATGCAATTGGAAAAACAGGAAGAGTTCGGAGTCATCCACTAGACTCCACTGGTCTAGATGAGATGATCACATCCCACACTCTGCACCTCACCACAGGGAAGTCTGGACTTCCAGGAACTTGCCTGTCATTGCTCAGAAATCAGCAGGATTTATTTTTGTTGCTATCCAGAGAAGCTGGAAACCAGCTTAGTGCTGCTAAGGCTTTAGAAAGAAGATGAATCTATTGGCTGCTTTGCAGGTAGGCAACTGGTATGATCACCTCTGGCTATCAGCTTTGGAGGGGGAAAAAAACTCACTTTTTTTTTTTTCAGTTCAACCTAGCAATGGATAAGACTCCAAGGAATCAATTTTTGTATTATAACAGATATTGATTTATAAACCAATATTCTATTTTTTAATTTACCATTTCCCACTAGAATAGGTAACAATTAGCACTTCACTTTATAAAGTTTTTTCACATTTATTTAATATTATCAAACTTGATTTTATTTATTTATTTATTTATTTATTTATTTATTTTTGAGGCAGAGTCTCGCTCTCTCTCCCTGGCTAGAGTGCTGTGGCATCAGCCTAGCTCACAGCAACTTCAAACTCCTGGGCTCAAGCGATCCTCCTGCCTCAGCCTCCCAAGTAGCTGGGACTACAGGTGTGACTACAGCCACCATGCCCAGCTAATTTTTTAGTAGAGTTGGGTCTGGCTCTTGCTCAGGCTGATCTCAAATTCCTGAGCTCAAGAGATCCTCCCCCACCTCAGCCTCCCAGGGTGCTAGGATTACATGTGTGAGCCACTGCCCCCCCACCCCCGACTATTAATTTTTTTATAGAGGTGGGTCTTGCTCAATCACGCAGGCCGGAGTGCAGTGGGATGATCATAGCTCACTGCAGCCTCCAACTCCTGGATTCAAGAGATCCTCCTGCCTCAGCTTCCCAAGGAGCTGGGATTACAGGAGTGGGCCACTATGCCCAGCTATCATCAAACTTGATTATTAAGAAAATTGTGATGTAGGTAGTAATTAATTGGAAAACTTAATAAGGACCCAGCTATTTCATAAACAGGAAGTCTTGGGGGAAGTTTGGTGTTAATGCATGCTGGCCTAGAGATTGGGGCTGAATCTTTTTTTCTGTCTCTCAGTGGCCCTGTCTAGTTTTTGGAAAATTTCTACCGATCAGAGGTAGTATCTCTACTGGTCAGATATACTATATTTGTTACATAAACCATTTACAAATCAATATTCTGTGACTTTCCCTTTCAGAGATCCCACATCAGTTTATACTAATGCTAGGGGGGATAAGGATCTTCCTTCTGCTCATCTTAAATTTTTTGGTGGGGGCCCCTGTAACAAAAGACAGATTAATGAGAGAAATTTATTTCATATAATTTTTATGTGACATAGGAGCCTTCATAAGGAAATGAAGACCCACAGAAGAGATTAAACCTCAGTGTTTTTATAATAGATTTCATGAAGAGTGGAGAGTATTGGAGAAATGTGATAGGACAAAGAAAGAGTATAAGCAAGCTGGGGGACACTTAGCAAGGCCTATTCATTCATACTCCTCTCTGTGTCCCCTATCTTCAACGATAAAGATGCTCCTCACTCCTTTTCTCTGGGAATAGAGAGGGCACCTCTCACTTGAGGGTCATATGACCTGCTTCAAGGAAAGGTAGAAATTCCTTCCTGTACATGCTGTCTCTCAAATTCCTTCAGCTTAAATATTCAATATCCTAAGATGACATACTTTGGGGTGGCATGTCCTGAACCCAATAACTAACAATTAATTAGATTATAGATTATTTCAAATGCTGTTTTCCTTAAGAGTATTAAGGGAAATTTTCCTATGAAATGGATACTTTACTTTCCTCAAGAGATTGCTTTTGTTGGGGCTCAGCAAACAGTACCCCAAAATGATGGCCTCAGTAGAAGCCTCAGAAGCAGAAGTTTTTCTGTGACCTTTTCTTCCTGTCTCTCAGTCCCATTCTCCCCCAAGGCTAGCCATGGAATCTAGAATCCCTCTTCTCGAAGTCAAATCATAGAAACCAGAACCCCTTTTCTCGAAAGTGTAACAGAATTGTCACCCCTCCCCCCATAGATATGGAAGGGGGGAATATGTAACAGAAGAAATGGCTTGAAAAATGGCAAAAATATTTGATATCTCTTTAAAACATCCCCCACTCCTTTAGGAGAACTAGGCCTTGCATCCCTGCCTCAGGCCAGAGGTTGGGAGGGACCGGGGAATATCTTTTTTTCTTTGTGCTATAGCAGAAGGCTCCAGGGAATTGTCTGGGTGGAGTGCACAAGATCATCTTAGCTGAAGATGGGATTTATCCTGGTGGAGGTCCCGATGTTGTCTTAACCGAAGATGGGGATAAATCTGAGCAGAGGTCATGAGATTGTTTTAGCCAAAGATGAGATTGATAAGATCCTTTAAAAGCTCTGAACTTCTGCTCAGGAGGGGGATGCTGGTACTTTGACATGGGAGTCTAGCAGCCTCTTCATTTGCAGGCAAATTAATAAACTCTTTCCTTCTCCTCAAAACACTTGTCCTTGTTCTTCTGATGTGACCTCAATGACAGTGCCAAACTTTCAGTAACAAAAGCCAGCCATGAAACCTAAAAATATTCTATGTAAAAACTGACCATACATGCCTTTAACCCGCACTTGGGTGAGGCAAAGACATAAAGTATAACTATAATGTTTGTACCCTCACAATACCCTGGAATAAAAAAAAAAAAGAAAAACTTGGCCATAAAGAAATTATCTGACCTACCTTGTTTGACTATAGGTCATAAGACCCTCATTCCAGAGGGGCTCCTGCTCTACATCCAGAAGGAAGGAATTCATGCTCAGAAAGGCCAAGAAGACTCTAGATAGACAGGCCTTCCTGACTTTCTCCACTCGGTATATTAACATTAGGTCATACCTGTTTTGTCTAATCATATTTCTACATGGCTGTGCATACTTTATTGACCTTAAGCATAAAAATGTACAATATCCCCTGTATCTTTCTGTATCATTCTAAAGGCTCCTATATATACACATTAAATTAATTTATATGCCTTTTCTCCAATTAATCTGCACCTTTTCGGTGATTGGTCAGCCTCGGCCCTTATATCTTCTTTCAGAAGGGAAACAGGTAATCTGTTAAGATGTAACACATGATTACTAGGAAGAATGAATGAATCAGGTAACAGACTAGCTTATAAATGGTTCTCTTTGGAAACTGAATGAGGCTAGGAGACAGACATCTTATTAAAGGATCTGTTCAGGTGTGGTTACATCCTTGGTCTTCTCTTCTGCAACAGATAAAGAGACAACATGAGATAATGAGATATCTATTTTGGGGAAGGAAAAACAATTGTTCTCCTTGGTGGATCTGTCAGGTCTTTATTTAGAGAGAGGAAAAGTCTCTTTCAGCCTCTGTTGATCTCTAAGGGCCTTTAATTGAAAATACTCATTAAACCAGGAAGCCATACTTTGGGGTGAACTTCCCTGAGCTCCTTCAATCCAAAGACACCGGGAAAACTGTCCAGTATTATGCTTAGGTTCAACAAAGTATGGGCAGCCATGCAGAAATATGATTGGACAAAAAGGGTATGATCTAAAGCTAATAGACCAAGTGGGGCAAACTCAGCAAGGCCTATCTAGATTCAGCGTGGCCTCTCTGTGCAGCATTCCTTCCTTTTGAGTGTGAGGCAAAACCTTCTCCAGAATGGGAGTCTTATGACTCACAAACAGGGTAGGTCAGATAATTTCTCACCATAAATGGCACCAAAAGGCAGAGGGAAAGTTAGACTAATATTTTTAGGTTGTTAACTGAAAAAAAGCCAAACTCTGTAAAATAATTTTAAAGAGATATATTCTGATCCAAATTTGAGGATCATGACCCAGAGCCACAGCCAAGAAGCCTTGAGCAAGTGGACTCAGTGTGGCTTGGTTACAGTTTGGTATACATTTCAGGGAGACAAGGGTTACAGGTAAAGTCATAAATCAATACGTGGGAAACATACATTTGTTTGGCCAGAAAAGGTGGGCCATCTCCAAATGGGTGGGGAGTGGGGATGGGGCTTACAGGTTATAGGAGGGTTTAAAGATTCTTTGATTTGTAATTGGTTAAAGACATGAAGCTTTGTCTAAAGGCTTGGAATGTTTTAACATAAGGAACTGTTTATCAGAGATAAACCACCGGACATATATTTGTTGTGTAAATTGAGGACCTGCAGGTTTATCTTACATAGGCTTTGGCCTGTTAGTGAGTTACAAAGGATGTCTCCAAGAAAGGAGGGAGGCATGGTGAGGCACGTCTGACCTCCCTCCTTGTGGCAGGCAATTTAGTTTTAGGATATTTCTTTGGCCAATAGGGGGTCCATTCATTCAGCTGGTGGGGGGATGAGACTTTAGATTTTATTTTAGTTCACAAGGTTTTATTTTTATGGCTGGCTTTGGGAAAAAGGAATTATGGTTTCCGTGACCCACCTTTGTAACCATAATAGGTTCCTTGCCAGATTCCCATGACAAGTCAATCCACTGAGATAATAGGTTGCAGCATAGAAAGAGGTTTAATAATACAGCTGCCAAAGGAGAGGAAAGGAAATCTCAAATCTGCCTCCTGGCGGAGTTTGGGGCTCAGGATTTTAAAGGGTTGGGTGGGCTGAAAGGTGAAGATCACAAATTGGTTGAAGAGAGCAGGGTGAAGTCATGGGACAGGGAAATGAAGAAACTGCATTCTCATGCAGATTTGGTTCCTCAGTGGGGGTCGACAAACTGTTTGGCATCAGCTATTCTGCAGCAGTTCAGAATCTTCATCAATTCTTAAACAAAAGTCTAATGATTTAAGGTCAGAGATTTCATTTCTAAGAACAATGAGATTGCAAATCAATTCTTAAAGTCCTTATTATTCCAACATCAGAAATCTCATGTATAGGATCAATGGAGAGGCAAATGGTCAGCATCTAGGGCTACTTGACTTTCCCTAACAAGGCAAGTGCCAAAGTATAGCCTGATTAATGCTTAATTAGAATCATATTTGGTTCAGAATTCTTTTTAATGTGGTTTCACCTTGGAGAGGGAGTCGAGTTCCTATGGCCAGACTTGGGGGTGAATAAGGGGTCAAAGACAGGAGGGGAGGAGAAGGTTAGAGAAAAACTTTTGCTTCTGAGGCCTTCATTTTGGGGTATCTTTCTAAAAAGGTATCCAATACCTTTTTGCATAAGTATTTTTAATTTTTTATCTTTAATTGTGGGTATATAATAGGATTATTTTGAGCTAATTATTTTAAAGAACTGCAGATACAGGGGAAACTCTGAAAACAGAAGTCACTCGTTTGTAAGGGAAATTTACACCTCTAAAGGAAATCTCCATTTGTAAGTGTCTCCCTTTCTATACCAGGAAGACAAGGATGACTCTAAATCAAGAGGCTCTAATCCGTGAAAAATCCACTGATTTAAATCTGCATTAAAAAACCTTACCTTTGTTTACCAAGCTTTTCCTGGTCCCCATAACTGCTCCTGCAACACCCTTTATTCCAGCTGAAGATGGTATTTAAGCCTGAATTCTAAGCCACCTCCATGAGACTTACACATTTTTCCGGGTATTTCCCACATATATATGAAATATACATACACTATATATATATATGCATATATATATGAAATATACTATATAATATAATAAACTTCTGCATATTTTTCTCCTGTTAATCTGTCTTTTATCACATGGGGGCCCAGCTAAGAACTCAGAAATGGTAGAGGGAAAATTACTTTTTCTTCCCTTACACCTAAATGGTAGTATGTAACCGTGGAAGGAAGGCTTAATATGACTAGCTCCATTTTCCTTCTGATCCTCAGCAATATAATATCCTTTAGGTTAAACGCTTCTGTTTACCTCTACACATAGGCCAGATAATTATAGAAAAAATTGGTTTGTAAGTTCAACTCTAAAAGAAAGATGATAACCTTCCTTTTCCCAAAACTACCTCCCAGGGAGATAAGAAAAGTGTACACACAAGTAACATGTTGTGTTGAAGATTTATAGGAACATAATGATCTGATGGTCTATGCCCTCCAAAGTTAACTGACCAAGAGCAAGTAAATTTTACAACCTCCCCAGACCCTCACAGGCATCCAGATATCTGTGGTCCTTTGTAACTTCTTGCAACTTCCCCCTTTCCATTCCCTTAACATAAAAAGGAATTTGAAGTTCATACTAAATTAAGATGGGTCTTTAGGGCATAAAGCTGCCATCTTCTCAGTTTGCTGGCTTTCCGAACAAAAGTCACTTTCCTTACCCCAACACCGTGTGTCTTATTGGCTGTCCTGTTGAAGTGGAAGATTGGAAAATTCCACTAAAGTGGAATTCTTAAAAATTCCACTACCGGGCTTTTTTTTTCCTTGCGATCCTTACCTGCGCCCCCTCCTCACCTGCGACCTTCCCCTCATAAATCACCTGTAGCAATTAGTGTACCAGGCTGTAAAAGTAGCTTAGGACTCTGCCTCACTAAAGTCAACCCTGTTGTGACCGTGCCCCTCCTCCTCTCCTGCCCTGTGACCTTTCCCCTCATAAATCACCTTTAGCAAGTAGTGTACCAGGTTGTAAAGTGGCTCAGGACCCTGTCTCACTAAAGTTAACCCTGTTATAGCCGTGCCCCTCCTCCTTAAGCAGAGTGTTTAAAAGACTGCAGTGGTCTTTGTCTGGTGCTCAGAATTTGGGGAGAACAAATTCCCCTCTGAGCCTTGCCGGCCAGCATATAAAACCTGTATTGCCAAAATCTCTGTGTGTCTCTCGGTCTATTCTCGATCAGTCCTGCGGTAACACTGTGGCAAGTGGTACCAGCTTGGATTCAGTTACATAATTGCAAAAAGAATTAGGGTGGGGAGTTAGGGAAGGTAAAACAAGGAGGGAGTCAATGTGGCCACGAGGGAGGGAAGGGAAAGGAACAAAAAGAAAGAAAACAGAAAGAGTAAAAGGTAAGGAAAAGGGTAGAGAACCAAATTTGAGAAAAGTGAGGAAGCCCACCTTGAAGCTATACCTGGTGGAGTTCATTGCAGTCAGCCACTCCTCAGGCTGATCGCACTGAGATTATACAGAAACAGTTTGCATATTTGGTAGTTTCACAAATGCCCGAAATGAATGTAGTCATCCCTCTAGAGATGGGCCCCTCGATTCCAGCAGCCACAAGGCAATATATCAATCAATGCCATAGGTGACCGAGGAAAAACACTGCAAGGCCATACACAGATAAAGGAATAGCCTTGCAGCGGTGGACAGCGCAAAACACTGTAGAAGGTGGACTGAGTAATCTTTAATTAAGCATCTTTTTAGACTCTGGAGTTTAAGCACCTTTTCATTTTTCCTGAATCGTGGGCAGGGCTTAAGGTTTGAGAACTAACTAACAGGTTAGAACTAACTAACCACCTGGTATGGATAGTTTTCAATCAGGTCCGATTTAGAAATATATAAGCCACTGCCTCCAAGATTTGGCACGCTGAGGTTCTTTGAATCATAGGTATGTCTGTTCACGGTAAGGGAGGATAAGGGTCTAGGTAAAGGTGGCGCCAAGCGTCACCGCAGAGTTTTACGTGACATATCCAGGGTATCACCGAGCTTGCCATCCGTCGCCTAGCCCGTCGTGGAGGCGTTAAGCGCATTTCTGGCCTCATTTATGAGGAAACGCTCGGAGTTCTTAAGGTCTTGGAGAATGTGATCCGTGACGCCGTCACCTACACGGAGCACGCCAAACGTAAGACTGTCACGGCCATGGACGTGGTTTACGCGCTCAAACGCCAGGGTCGCACGCTCTATGGCTTCGGTGGCTAGCATTTCACTTGGAGATTCTATTTTGCAAAGGCTCTTTTTTAGAGCCACCCGCTGAGTCTTATGAAAGAGCTGTAGGCATTTTTAAAAACCTTAACTTGTAAGGGGTTAGCTAATCCCTTCTCAATTCCGGAAAAGACACTAAAGATCTTAAGTGGTGTAACTTCTAAGCAGTTGTCAAGTTCAATGTAACTTGGTGTCCCTTTTAGCATTACTACCAGCTACTGGTTAAAGGGTGCAGCTTCTACGACAGACTGTCAAATTTAAGGCCTCCAATTCTTGCAAAAGTTGCGGTGAGACAGGCACTTTCAGCTTGTATCGGTTACTCTCCCGTGACAACCTCCAGGGCTGAGTAGCTACAATGGTGTGGTCCGCAATGTCTGAAATAGTTAAATATGACCTTTTACAGAAAGAGTTGGCCGGCCCTTTAAATATAAAAGTATTCGGCCGTTCTTAAACACGTTCGACAAATACTGTCATGGCTGATGTCATGCCATACTGATATGGCTCGAATTTCACCCCTTCGTTGTCTCCATTTAAAAATAATTCAGTCTCAGTTCCTTTTCACGTTATTCAACAAACTTTGTCAATCCAGTCATGACACCTTATTTAAAATAGTGCAAGGCAATTGCAGATCTTCAAGCCAACAGTCTTATAGGATTTTGATGCCATGGGAAATTTAGAGGCTTTTTTAAAAGCCAATGAGACCAGTCTTTTCTGTGAAACGAGGGGAAAAAAAAAAAAAAACAGTCTTTAAGAAGGCGGGAAAAATGTTGAGAAGATTAAAGCGGGAACCAATTCCGTGAGTGAGACGAGAAACTCTACAGTCTATGGTCCAATCAGAATGCGAGGGTCGCTATAAATACCGGGATGACCGGCACCTGTTCTCACTTGTTTTGAGTAGTTAGGACTGGTTAGGCATGGCTCGCACAAAGCAGACAGCTCGTAAGTCCACCGGCGGTAAGGCGCCGCGCAAGCAGCTGGCCACCAAGGCGGCCCGCAAGAGCGCTCCCGCCACTGGCGGTGTGAAGAAACCTCATCGCTACCGGCCCGGAACCGTGGCTCTGCGCGAGATCCGCCGCTACCAGAAGTCTACAGAGCTGCTGATCCGGAAGCTGCCTTTTCAGCGCCTGGTGCGCGAAATCGCTCAGGACTTCAAGACCGACCTGCGCTTCCAGAGCTCAGCAGTAATGGCGCTGCAGGAGGCATGCGAGGCCTATCTGGTGGGGCTTTTTGAGGACACCAATCTGTGCGCCATCCACGCCAAGCGAGTGACTATTATGCCAAAGGACATCCAGCTTGCCCGCCGCATTCGCGGGGAGAGAGCATAAATTTTCTTACAGTGGACCAATATGCATCCCACCCCAAAAGGCTCTTTTCAGAGCCCCTCAGTTGTCACCAAAAAGTAGCTGTGAACTTTCGAAACAATGTTGTAGCCCCATACCATGTGCAGATTGCGTGGACACAAAATGGTTGAAGACTACCGGAGGGTTGCATTACAGTCTGAGAGGCGATGTGTTAACACAATTTAACTCCAATTACAGAACCTGCTCATCCTCCTAATGCAGTGAGGAGATGTAAAAAGACACTACTTTGATAAATGAGGGAACCTTTTTAGAGACATCCTCGGTTACACAGTGAAAGACCTTACATGCTTTAGTTTCTGTGGATAATTGTGGTAGTGAAGTTTGATTTTGCCAAAGTATCCATCCTCTTACGCTTTAAAAAATGTGTTACTTGCTTGCAGGCCTGTGCCACTAACAAACAGAACCAGTACTATTATAAGTGTTTAAAAAACCTGTTACATGGGTCCTAAAAAATGTGTACATATGGACATAGTCGAATGATGGACAATAGAGACTTGGAATGGTGGGGATGGGAGAGGATGGATGATGAAAAATGATTGAATGGGCACAATGTATGTTTTTGGGATGACTGATATACTAAAAGCCATGACATGACCACTGTGCAATGTGTGTAACAAAATTGCACTTGTACCCCATAATTTGTACAAATAAAAAACCTGTTACCTTTTTTTTGTTTCAATGTAATGTTTAGGAAGCCATATGTTTGTGTGTGGGAAGCAGGCCTCTGAAGACCTGGATACTTTAACCTACTGCAGGCTGTCATCTGTGAAACGAATTCCCTCTACTTCTGAAAATCTATCTTAAAAAGTATTTGCCCAAGTCATTACACCATGTGCTTGTCACAGTCTGTGAAATTGTATATTCTTGATTTTTTTTTTCTAATAGAGAATCACACTGAGAATTAAACCTTAGGTGGCATTTTAAAGCTGTTCTTGGTTTCTGTTTTATCCAGAATTATCAGCTGTCTAAAAAGTTTCCTCATGTGCTCTTCGTATGTGACTATCATTACCTCATTTTGCAGTTTACCCTTTTGGGTACACATCTTGACTCTAGGAGATGGCAGAGTTATGTGAAGGCAATTTTTCTCCTGAGTGTTCTCAGGCAGGTCAGCCCTTTTGGGCCTTCCCTTCTTTCCCCTATTCTTGGATTCACTCTTCCAAAGAGGCTTATATTCCAACAACTAACTCCTCCTAAAGTTTTTTGGAAACTCTGGGAATCGACTCAGAAAACAAACAAACAAACAAACAAAACCCCAGTTCTGGCAGGTGGGGCCAGAAGCCTCTTACAATTAATTTAGAGTTCATTCAGTGAATGTCTGCTACGTGTAAGGACACAACTTGATGCTGCCCCTTCCAAGATTCAGAGATAATTGTCTCCCCATCCCTTATAGCCTATCATAATAGAGCTGAGGTCATGTGTCTAGTTTTAAATCCCAGAACTTCCAGTTATTAGCTGTATAACCTTTGTCAGGTTACTCATTCTTTCTCTGGGTCTCAGCTTGTACAGCTGTAAAATGTGGCAAATGAATTAAAAACCTGAAGAACATGTTTTTTACTTAATAAATGCTTAATGAATGTTAGCTCTTATTATCATAGCCCCATCCCCTTTAGACATGGAATTTCGGGTCTTTTTTCCCTGGATCTTCTGAAAGTTTTGTGTCTGAAACAGTGGAAAGTGCTTGGTTAGAATATTTTCTTGTGAAGATGTCCTTTTGTTTAGTTCTCAATTTCCATTGTTCTAAAAGAGGCCTGTAGCATTATCTGTGTATGTGTGAAGTTCAAAACACAGCAAACAGACCAGGTAGCAAATAGTTTAGGCTTTGAAGGCCACATATAGTCTCACATATTATTTTTGTTTTTTACAATCCTTTAGAAATGTAAGGCATTACTTAGCTTGAGGGACATACAAAAACAGGCCACTGTCCAGATTAGACCCTAATTTGCCAGCCCCTCCAGGAACTCTTGAAGAGAGGATGAAGTATGTTGGCTTTAAACTTTCCAGTACAGCATTTCATGAGCAAGAACTCAGTAACTGTTGATTTCATTAAAGATTTGAATCATCCTTGATCTCCTTTGTTACTCAAGCACAAAATCCTATCCACTCCTCTCCCCTCCAATAAACAGGAAACTTCACCCCTCATTCCAACCTCACTGCCTCAGTTATGTTTTCCTGAATTCTTCTGAACCTCTATAAACTTCAGTGCTTCAGTACCCAATCCAACCTTCTTATAGTCAGTAGCCAGTTATTCTAAAATATGAGTCTGTTTGCACTCTAATACATAAAAATATCCATATTGATGTACCCTGAATGTTTATAGAAGAGGGTATGTATTCCTGGTGGTGCATGCAGCTTATTAAATGTTGATGGAGATTTCAGTGGGATCAGTGGAAAGAACGTTTTGAAAACCTGACAGAGTCAGGTCATCTAAACAGTTTGTGCATTTGAGTGCCACTGGGAGCCACTGAATAATTTTCAACATGTTTGAGAGTTTTATCTAAAGCAAATTATCTATGCTAAGTATTTTTCTTCCTTATTTTAACGGATTTGCTCAGGACCTAAAGAAAGCACCTCAGTCAGAAAGTATGCCAAATTTAAGTCTGGATTTGAACCCAGGTTGTTGGATTCTGAAGTCAAAGCGATTTGTATTCCTCCTGCCACAATGTGGAAGAAATCACTCTGCCAACTGTATTTTTCCAAGCTGCAAAATCCCATTCTCTAAAGATATCAACACTTGGAAACTCCTAGGAGATAGAACCGGTTTTCAAAGTAAGGTCTGTGTGGTTAATTTGGGGCTGTAGGCAACCAGCTGCTCTGTGCCTGTGTTACTTGCTACAGTTAGAAACAAAGTTTATGCCCAAACCAAGGAACCTAGTGTCTTTCCTCTTGCAAAAATCAAAGGCTGATCCTAGGGACAAATCTTTTTAAATAACTTTCACTGGATTCTTAGTAGAAATTTATTGTAACATGCAACTAACTAGCATGATGCCCTCAGCTGAGTAGATTCTTATGAAAAGCTGAAGGGATTTTGAAAAATATCTTTCGTCAATTGCTCATGATTCGTGAAAACAGAAACAAGTACGTGAACCTGGAGGCTGTTTTCCTCCTTTGGAGCTTCAAAGTGTAAAATTTTGTACCGTTGTTTTAAGCATTTAATCAAATTTCGGAGACTAACAAACACAATTTGAAAGTCCAACCAGGAGCGGCCGCAGCCCGAGGGCGGTGGATTGGACACTCCACCAATCACAGGGCAGCGCCGGCTTATATAAGCCCCGGGCCCGAGCAAAGCAGCATTACAAAACTTGCTCTTTGGGTTCGGCATCTCTTCTCTAGCAGTTTCTTATCACTATGTCGGAAACCGCTCCTGCCGAGACAGCCACCCCAACGCCTGTGGAGAAATCCCCCGCCAAGAAGAAAGCAACTAAGAAATCGGCCGGCGCGGGCGCGGCTAAGCGCAAGGCGACCGGGCCCCCTGTCTCTGAGCTGATCACTAAGGCTGTGGCCGCTTCCAAGGAACGCAATGGCCTTTCTTTGGCTGCTCTTAAGAAGGCGTTAGCGGCTGGTGGCTACGACGTAGAAAAGAACAACAGCCGCATCAAACTGGGCCTCAAAAGTTTGGTAAGCAAGGGCACTCTGGTGCAGACCAAGGGCACCGGCGCGTCTGGCTCCTTCAAACTGAACAAGAAGGTGGCCTCTGGGGAAGCCAAGCCGAAAGCGAAGAAGGCAGGTGCAGCTAAAGCTAAGAAGCCTGCTGGGGCCACCCCTAAGAAGCCCAAGAAGGCTGCGGGAGCTAAAAAGGCAGTGAAGAAGACTCCGAAGAAAGCGAAAAAGCCTGCGGCAGCTGGCGTCAAAAAAGTGGCGAAGAGCCCCAAGAAGGCTAAAGCCACCGCCAAGCCGAAGAAAGCAGCTAAGAGCCCCGCCAAGTCCAAAGCGGTTAAGCCGAAGGCGGCCAAACCCAAGGCCGCCAAGCCTAAGGCAGCAAAGCCCAAACCTGCAAAGGCCAAGAAGGCGGCTCCCAAAAAGAAGTAGGAAGTTGGCGCGTAAATACTGCAACAAAGCCCCAAAGGCTCTTTTCAGAGCCACCCCAGAGATCTCTGAAAATTGCTGTACACAGAAAAAAATTAATTTCACCTCAACCCTAGCCTCCGATTTTTGGAGGAATTTCTTCACCCTACACTTAACACGTGTATGGATATGAGAGGTTTGAGGTAACTTCCTATCTCGGACTTAAAACTGAAACTGAAAATAATGTGTTAGTTAGACGCGCAAAGTAAGCAAGGCGCTCTTTTCCAGTCTAAAGCCTGGAACTAAATGGTTACATCTGGGTCTCCGTGTAAATCACTGTTAATCCAACTTAAGTATGACCTGCAGCCGTTGGTTTTCAGAAGACAGTTTTCTAAGCTATTACAATGAAGACTCTTAAATTTAAAAAACCCGCGCCATATTCTGACTGGTTAGTTTACTGCTTTCCATCAATCGGAAGTGTGCTTCCGGTTTAGGCGCCCGCTACTTTAGCAAGCATCATCCACCCAAAGTGCACACCACAAGATGTTAAGGCTAAAAGTTTTACACAGTTCTGAAGCCAGTTGGCTTAGCTTATGAAATTGTGTGTTGGAACACCACTGGATGAACAAACTGCCAATGCACATAAATTGCAGTAAATCCTACGAAAGACGACTGTGGTGATATGCTTAAATCAAGATCTTCAACTGGATTAAGATGAGGAGTCCAAATAGGGGACAAGGGTTTGGCCTTTCTCACATGTGGTTATGGAAACACATTCCAGGGTTTAATAATACATCACGCTTATTTCCTTACTAGACTCCACAATTTTTAATACACCGAGGACCGACACTTTGTGAAATTTCAAACTTGGTAAAGTAGCGCGCAGTTTTATCTAAAAGGGATTGCTAAACCGTAGTTATTACATGGAATGATTTCCTCTCCGCAGTAACCACTGACGTTTTACTAGTGACCCATCTCTTCCATAGAAATAGTAGGTGGCTCTGAAAAGAGCCGTTGGTTTGGGAGGCAGTGCTATCGGCACCTTACTTGCCCTTCGGTTTGTGGTGACTCTCAGTCTTCTTGGGCAGCAGCACCGCCTGGATGTTGGGCAGGACACCGCCCTGAGCGATGGTGACTTTGCCCAGCAACTTGTTGAGTTCCTCGTCATTACGGATGGCCAGCTGCAGGTGGCGAGGAATAATGCGCGTCTTCTTGTTGTCACGAGCAGCGTTGCCCGCCAGCTCCAGGATCTCGGCGGTCAGATACTCCAGCACCGCCGCCAGGTACACCGGGGCGCCGGCCCCGACTCGCTCAGAGTAGTTTCCTTTGCGGAGCAGGCGGTGCACACGGCCCACTGGGAACTGGAGTCCTGCCCGGGAGGAGCGGGTCTTGGCTTTGGCGCGAGCCTTGCCACCTTGTTTGCCGCGTCCAGACATGATAGTAGTTGCTGAAAACCTAAAGTGTGTAAGCCAAAGCTGCAGTATTTATAGTCAATATTGGGCGCGAAATAAAGCAATACCATTGGCTAAAGGTGTGGTTTCACTTAAACCAATGGAATCGCGATTATGAAATACGTTTATTTTGATTGGACAAAATTGATACGTGACGTCATCTAGGGTCATCACCAATCACATACATGATTTTATTAATCAACTTATTTGCATAAGACATTTTGAATAAAGAGCGTAGGTCCGGCTCCGCGCAACCTTTTTCCTGATTCTTTCGACTTTCTTTGCAGCTAATTTCTATCATGCCTGAACCGGCCAAGTCCGCTCCGGCCCCAAAGAAGGGTTCCAAGAAAGCAGTGATCAAGGCGCAGAAGAAAGATGGCAAAAAGCGCAAGCGCAGCCGCAAGGAGAGCTACTCCATCTACGTGTACAAGGTGCTGAAGCAGGTCCACCCCGACACCGGCATCTCGTCTAAGGCCATGGGCATCATGAATTCCTTCGTCAACGACATCTTCGAGCGCATTGCGGGCGAGGCCTCTCGCCTGGCGCATTACAACAAGCGCTCGACCATCACCTCCAGGGAGATCCAAACGGCGGTCCGCCTGCTGCTGCCGGGAGAGCTGGCCAAGCACGGTGTGTCTGAGGGCACCAAGGCTGTCACCAAGTACACCAGCTCCAAGTGAGCTCCTCGGTAGATGCCCACACCCCAAAGGCTCTTTTCAGAGCCATCCACACTTTCCAAAATGAACTGTTGCTCATTTTGTCCCTCCCTTAGAAGTAGCCAAAGGCAGCATTATTCTGAAGCCTTTGATAAACGCTTTATTTATGCAAAAGATACTTTGTCGTCTTGTGTTTAAAATAAGATTATCTGCTACCAAATTTTTTGTGTTACAAATATCAAACACCCAAAACAGTTTTATTGTGCTTATTTCACTTAATATCCAGACTCATTTAATGCTGAGAACCCCCCTGTGGAGTTAAGTTATTAGTGCCTAGAAAATTTCAAATGCCCTTCATGGTAAAAATCTTATTAACATATAAAGAAAGTAATTAGCTTGACGTTTTGCAGGTTGTACCATCATTTTCAGGCCTCCCAATAGGGAGCTCAATAAATATGTAATCCAAGTGATATGCTCTTTAGATTTTTCTTTTTAAAGTAAGTGATGGAAATGTGTTTTCTTGCTACTTCCATTTTAGGCCTAATTTGCACAAAATGACCTCAAGGTGTTGAGATAAAATGGAGAAAGGAAAGAAAGAAGTTAGAACCAATTTGAAGCTAGCTAGCTAATTTCTATCCTCCCTAGCTAATCCAGATGCTATGCCAGCAGCTTGAATTTTTCTACTATTAATAGTTATTTTCTTTACATTTGTCCTAGGTAGATCAAAGTACTCTGCACTGCCCCAACTCCACACCTTTCCTATGAAGTTGTTAATTTAACATGTAGCTTGATTTTGCTTTTGCTCCATGTTTTCCACTCGCCTTGAATGTTTCACCACTTTAAGGAATGGCATGTCTGTTTACTATTATTTTCACATGGTCAAAATTTTTCCTGGTTAAAAGAGTTTAGAATGTAGGTCAGTTTCTTCTCTGAGTCACCTACACATTTCATCTCATTCTATTTCCCTGTTACTCTTTTTTCTGTGATAAGGGGGGAAATTCTAGATAAAAAGGCAATCTTTTTGAAACACAAGAGAGAAGCGTGGTCTCCCAGTGTTTAGGCTGGCAGGGCCATTTTGTCTCTTTCAGGAATCAATGTGAGATACAAGTTCCAAGTGTTCTACAGACCATCAGATGGCACGATCTTAAAACCCAACACCTTTATTATTTTTCTAGGTATTAGTCAATCTTTTCCCATTAAAAGACAAATGACCTTAGGCCTGTGGGAATAAAAAGCACAAAATTTGGGCCAAATTTATGACCTCAAAAAGCAAAGAACAAAGAGTTAAGGAGCTGAGTCTTCAGACAAAGCCAGTAACTGTCTTCCCTCCAGCTTCGAAAAGGTTGATGGAAATAATGTGGCATTAAGGCAGAAAATGAAGGTCAAGAGAGCCTGAGGGCAGCCATTTTGACTGAAACCAGACCCTAACCACACTGAACAAAGAAGTTGCCAGCCCAGGACCACCCAAAAGATGGATGAATTATTAATACTAAGCTGTATGTCTTACAAACTGTGTTTACCTTTCTGTGACAGCAGTTTGTGATTAACTTTTATGGCCTGGCCCCAAGACAGTGCTGGTCATGCACAGCTATTCCCTAATGGGGTTTTTGAATACATAAAAATGTTACCATTGCTGAATAAGGGGTCCTCCTCTTGATCGGGAAAGGACCCCTACTCTGTATGTGGAATAAGATGTATTGTCTGTTTTTCTCTCTCTCTCTCAATAAACTTTCTGTTGCTAGTTGGCTTGCTCTCTAATTCTTTCCCACATGAAGCCAAGAACCAACTTGTCGAGTTCAGGGGGTCTTTCCTCCCTTCATTGGGACAACTTCTACATCAGAAACACTTTGCAGAAATCCATTTTTTTACTAGATCAACCATTATTCAATCTGAAATTACTACTGTTATTGTTGCAGTGAAGAAATGGACTAATATTGGGTTCATATAGGTAGAATTATTATTTTCCGAAATATACCTTGCACCTGTTCTCCATGACTGTAAAGTCAACATTGGTCCACCATCCAAGTCCTGTCTGTCCTTTAGAGCCAATCCCAAGTCTTACTTCCTCAGAAACCTTTCCTGATTATTCCAGCTTAAATTGTTTTCCTTTCTTGAAGCTTCTCCTGTGTTTTCTCCTTCCTGTTTGAACTTTTACTATACACATACACCTTGCCTGTGTGTAAGCTGGGAACCTCCCTGTCTTTCCTATATCTTTGCAATTTTGGCTCCTTTAAACCCAAGAATCTCAGATACGTAATTTGTTTCTAGATGGTCTTCTATTAGTATTTAATATTTTTGTTTTGTAATACATTTTTAACTGACATTACTGGTCTCCTCTTTTGCGGTTCACCTATGGGACCTACACTAGTACCCAGTTTGAAATTAGGAGGCCAACTCCTAAAACACATGACCACTTCAAGAAGTCAAGATTTTGGCTCCTCTGAAACTCAATGTCTATATTTGTAAATTGGAGAAAAAAGCAATTCACAATTATATGACTGTCATGATGATTAGTGAGGATACTTCGTGAATTGGGATTGTTATATACATATAATTTTTATACATTAAAGAGAAATTTTATGTATTATTTGGCATTTGAAAGGCTTAGGACACGTTCACCTACTAATCAAACTGAACCACACAGTTCAGCCCATATAGTGTTGACTAGAGTTGTTTTCCAGTTCATTTATTCTTTCAGTAGATACTTGATGAACACATGCTATGTGCCAGAAACTCTTCCAGGTACCAGAAATATTACAGTGAACTAAACAGACAAAAAGTCAAGCATTCACAGAATTTATTTTAGGATAAAAAACAAAAAAATACATTAAAAGAGAGTGTCAAATAATATTAAGTGTTTGGGAGATTTAAAAAAGTGGAAAAGAAAGAAAGGCTTTGTATTTTTCATTTTGAATAACATAATCACAGAATGTTCATCAAGAAGGTGAAATTTAAACAAAGACAAGATGAAGGAGTAGACCTTTGGGGAAGATTGTTGTAGAAAGAATAAAGAATGAACAAGTAAAGAGACCCTGAGGTATTTGGGGTGGGAGCAGTGGGAGGGAAAAATACCTGGTATTAGTCAAGGAAAAGCAAGGCAGTCAATGTGGTTGAAACTGAGGAAGGAGAGAATTAGCTGGAGGAGGGGTAATAGAGATAGAGAGAGGGCTTCCAGAATGTGTGGGACTTTATATGACATTACAATGGCTTTGGATAATGTTGCCCAATATTTCGAATTCTTAGTATCATAGCTGTAGAAAGCTGTGGGTTTTTATGTCATCAGCTGTACTTATCTCAACCCCAATCCTGATTTTATGGGGACAATATACAAGGCATTCCATGTATACGTGTCATTTTACTTCTTTGCTTAAACCTCACAGAAAGAATAGAGAAAAGGAGAATTTCCAGCCTCAGTCAGGACAACAGGAATCCCAGGGAAGTTCTAGCAGCTAGACACTTACCTACAGATATGGGAAATCCAGGACTTTCACTCTCAACAGTTGCTTTCTGTTTCAGAATAGTCCCATTCTCCACAACCTCTAAACTAAGCAAATGCCCATGAGAAAATCACCTTTTATGAATCTGCTTCAAGTTAAGGGCATCAGGGACCCCACAAACATTAAAGCCATACCCAATCATCTGACAAAGGTGTCCACTCCTGAATTTTAAGTTTCCTGATACTTCTTTAGATTCAAGTCTTATTTCCACCCTTGTCTGAAGCCAAGAGAGAAAAATCTCTCATATTTTCTCTTGTTAGAACATTATCCATATAATTAGGTAATTAGCCAAATATCCCTTTTAACTATATATATCTGTTTTATATTCGCAATTTCTCATTCCTCTTCCATCCTAATCGTGCATCAAAATCACTGGTAAAACTTTAGTGGGGAAAAGGATCATTGCCTAGCTCCCATGCCAAAAATTCTGATTTAATTAATCAGGGGAGGAGCCTGAGCATGTGATATATCTGAAACTTCTCAGGTGACACTATGGTTGTGAGGGTTGAGAGACACATTTTCTGTGCCCACTATGGGAAGCAGCCTTCAAGGTGGTATTAAGTGACTCTTGCCTTCTGCTGTTTACATCTTTGAGTAGCTATTCCTACATTGTACCAGGGTTGGTCAACAGAATACAGCAGAAGTGAGGGTATGTCACTTCCAAGATTAGATAAAGGAATTCCATCTGGATCACTCCCACTCTCTCTTGGATCACTCGCTCCAGAGGAAGGAAGCCAGCTCTTGTCAGGAGTAGCCCTCTGGAGATACTCTCGTGGTGAGAAACTGAGGCCTCTAGTCAGCAGTCATATGAGTAAGCCTCTTCTTGGATCATGGAA